CAGAGTAAAATATTGATATTATAATTGATTCATATCAAGGATTTTTGTTTTCCATAATTGCATATTAAAAAAAAAAAATTAGTATAGTGCACTTTTTTTTTATTTATGACATTTCACATGTATTTAAACAATAATCATTGAGATTACAAATTTTAAAAAATTGTTTACTCTTCAAAGAATTTACCTCTCATAAAATAGTTAAAAAAAAAGCACAATATTTATCTATATCTCTCATAAAATAGTTAAAATAAAAATAAAAAACAAACACAATATTTATACCATACTCTACGCCTAAATTAAAAACATCTGCTGTAGCCATAGTCCCCACAGTGTAGGGTATTGCAAATGCGTTAAACTAGTATTGCTCACATAATATAAACAAACAGATATTTATGAATGAATTTCTCTTCTGATAACAGTCGATCGATCGCATGGGCGTGCCCAAGGTCATTGAGATGACGCTGGACGCACTCGACACGCAGAACAAGATCCATGTGAGCTTCGACATCGATGCGCTGGACAGCAATGTGGCGCCGTGCACGGGCACCGCCGTCCGGGCCGGGCTAACGCTGCGCGAGGGCATCAGCATTGTGGAGGCGCTACGCGACACCAAGCGTGTCCAGGGCATGGACATTGTGGAGATCAATCCGAAGCTCGGCACCCCGCAGGATGTGCGCACCACAGTCGACTCGGCCCTCGAGATACTGAAGAGCATGTTCGGCTACCGGCGCTCGGGTGCGCGGCACTACAGCAACCTGGACACGGGCATACTGGGGCACGAGCAGTAAACCACGWTCTATACATATATCGATATATATTATTAAATATATATGTATGTACGTGTTATGTTTTTAATAATATACATATATATATATAACATGTGTTTTTTAAGTATGTACAACTGTAAAAATTCAATTTTGCTGCTTAATCTTATGAGACAATAAATTTGTGGCATTGTAGTAGAGGAGAGTGAATTGAGAGTGCTTTGAACGGAGATTGCGAGTGGGCCGAGTGTGGCCCGGCTAGATGTCTGACTTGTTGGCCGCCATGGCTGTTGGCAGATAGGCGGATATATCCACATTGGCCATCAGATTGGCCGTGTTGAGCAGGTCGTTGGCGGGCATTGGCACGCTGCTGACTGGCGCCGGTGGGGCTGGCGGGGGCGGAGTGGCGCCCGGTAGCCGCTGGTAGAGCTGCGGCGCAAACATGCGCAGCAGACGCCGCTGGATGGCCACCAGCAGCGCATTGACAGCGCCAGAGATGACAATAATGCCCGATATAATGGAGCAGAGCCGTATGACAAATGTCACCAAATTGTCACGATCGTGGCTAACCACAATTTTCAAGGCAGACCAATCGTACTTGAAGTAAATGCCCGGCGAGCCGTACGAATTGCGCTCCGCATCTGTAAATGGTAAACGAGTTATGGTGATGGTAGGATGAGAGGATGCACTGCATCAGCACTTGCCTAGCTTGCGTACGTTCTCGGTAACAGCATATTGGAATGTGCTGATGGTGCTAAACGTATGCCGTATCTCCGTCGGCACCACCTTGATGAAATACTGCACCGTGGTGGCCTCCTCCCGTATGATCGTCTCGTCACCCTCCAGTGGCTGGACGATGCGACGTGAGTATTGGCCGAAGCTCAAGCGATTGATGCGATGCGTAAAGTTTGCTGGCATGCGGCGAAACTCGATCATCCAGTGATCCTCGAACATGCCAACTACCGGCTGGGCGCCGCCCACTAAATGGAGCACGCCGGCCACTTTATTGATGCCCAATGTGCCGTGCAGCCGGCATGCATCGTACTTGGACTCCATCTGCGAAATCTGCTGCAGCTGCTGCAGTGCACCCGGTGGCGGCGGTGGCGCTGCGTCTGACAGTGTATCGCTCTCCTTGGGCGGTGACCGTTCGCGTAGTATGTCCTTAAAGAGTATATCAGCCACAGAGTGATATTCCTCGCGCAAATAATGATTGGTCATCTGCATGGACTGAAAGTGACGACGATCCGCGTCCGACATTTGCCACCAGACGCCCTCGCGCTGCAGTGTGCCGTACGCAAACACATCCAGCTGCGTCTCGTCCATCAGATCGACGCCAGAGAGCGAGGCGCACGGCATGGCTACCGTAATGTCCACATGCATCTGCACCTGCTCATCCAGCGAAATGTCTGGCTCAAATTGGTAAATAATATCCGTCTCATTCCAATAGTAGCGCAGCTCCGTGTACACGAGATAGACAATGAGCAGCCGGCTTAGCAGGGAGACTGCAAATAATTTAATAATAATTATTAGTATAATCGAATAACAGGAGTGCGGGAATCAATGCATTTTGCTCACGTGTGCCCCCAATCTCTGTGGTCTCCGTATATTTCTCCGGCACCTTTTTGAAGGCATCCAAGTTCTTGGCGAACTCTAGCAAATTGCTTTTATCGCCACGGTAACGTAGCGTGGCACTCATAGCTGCAAATGCTACACGTCGTAATTGTTATAATTAACTAATTATTGTTTATTGCCAGCTATTCAAAACATCATCTCCAGTGCCACGTACTCCCCCACGTTTGCTCTCGCTTGGCGCCGGATCTGCGCACGCTATTGCCTAAATTTAATTAGAGCCAATTAACTAAAACCCGCCTTTTGATCGCAATCGTTTATAAATGTATGCACTTCCGGCTTAATACGAAATATTGTAAAAATATAGTTGATGTTATTGTCGTTGCCGGCTGGATTGTTGATATATCGGCTTGTAATACGCCTATTATCGGTATGTTATCGATGACGCGAGGAGCGGATGCTGTCATCAACAGGGGAGAATAACGATACGTTTGCGGTAGATGCACCAGAAGCACTAAAATAAGATTTTAAATATGAAATCGTTCGACTAATTCAGAAATTGCAATCAAGCTAATATGTACAACATTATTGAATGAATTTCTTCAATTATCATCAATTGCAATATATTACGAAATCCATAAATTTGAATGCAGTTTCTTGCCAAAGTGATATTAATAATGTAACTTATGTTAGAATATAATATACTAATGGTTTCGTTCATTTATTAAATATTCTGATCCTATTAGCAACAGGTACTTGCAAATAAATCAATTTGAATTGCTTCGCACGTTAAAAGTGCATCGAAACAGCTGGCACTATCGGATAATTGGCGCAGTTTCTTGCCGACGGCTGGCAACGCCGACTGCGAATGCATAGTATCGAATCGATAAATTGAATAACGCTGTTGATTCGCTGTTCAAGTTGAGTTTCGCATCATTTGTAAACCTCGCTTGACGCTCGAAACGCTGGTGAAATTCGCGGAATCTTTGTGTATAAATAAACGTTAAGCAAAAAAAAAAAAAAAAAACAGCAACAACAACAAGAACAACAATAGCCGTTACTGAGCGGGCAAAACAAGTTTTGGTAATTAACATGCACATATATTGAATTTTATTGTTAACGTTTCGTATTTGATCGCATGATTGACTGTCCCTGCAAGCTAATATACTAATATTTTGCCCAATTTACATGTTATTGTCGTTGCCAGCATTGCCAGCTAATATATAGCATATATACAAAGAAAAGAAAATCGTTAAACGATGGCTTTTGCTTCCAAGTGCGCAATTGTCGCCGTAGCCTTATTTGCTTTGCTGCTGACGCATGGCTTCGATGTTGTGGATGCCCGCCGTAACCAAGGCAGCAATCAACGGAAGACGTCATCCAGCAGCAGCAATTCCGGCCATGTGACCCAATCCTACAGCAATCCCAGTAACAATGGTGGCAACTCGCATGCGGATGCCGCCAAACTGAGCTATTCCAATTACAATTCCCAACCGAATCGACCACCCAATGCCCAGCCGCCTGCGCCTGGCTGGAATGTGCCGCAAGGACCCCCGGCTGGAGGTGCCCACTCCAATGTGCATCAGCCCATAACTCCCAACAATTATGGTCAGCAGCATGCAGGAGCACCTCCTAGCTATTCAGCTGCTGGTGGCTATCCCGCTGCTGGTGGCTATCCGGCTGCTGGTGGCTATCCGGCTGCTGGCGGCTATCCAGCTGCTGGTGGCTATCCGGCTGCTGGTGGCTATTCCGCCGCTGGTGGCTATCCGGCTCATGGCGGCTATATGAATGGAGCAAGTGGTGGCTATCCCGCTGGCGGCTATCATCAGCCTGCCGGTGCCCCACCGGGCGCTGTGTACGTGCAGCCTGGCTCAGCTCTACCACCGGGCGCCGTTTTGTTATCGCAGCCACCGCAGCAATCTTCCTCCGGCTTGGGCTTCGGTAAGTGCATCGCCTGAATTCACAGTACGATTGATTCATAATCCACTGTTTCAGGCACTGGTCTTCTGGCTGGTGGCTTGGGCGGCGCCTTGCTTGGCCACGCATTGACTCCATCTGGTGGCAGCTCCTCGCAACCGGCGGCTGCACCAGCCGCTGCTGCTGGCCAGGATCGCATCATAATCATCAACAATGGCGTGCCTGTGAATGCCAGCGATGGCACCACTGTCATCAACGCCGCGGGCGCACCGGCTGCCCCAATGAACGCCACCGATGCACAGTCCGCACCGCCAATGGCGCCCATGGCACCTATGGCCCCCATGGCCCCTATGGCCAATGGCACTGACGCAGCGCAGCAACCGCCGGCACCGGGCGGCATCATTTGTGTGCCCACCAAAATCAACGAAACGGATCCGACAGACAGCAGCAAGATGATCGAAGTCGAGAAGATCGCCTGCTATCCGGCACCGCCGCCACCAGCCGCCGCACCCGGCGCTGAGCCCGTGCCGCTGGCACCAATGGCCACCAATCAGCCGCCGCCGGCAATGCTGCCACCCGACCAGGCAGCCGTGCGCTCCAACACCAACGGCGGAGCTCAGTTGCAAGTCTCCAGCTTTGCCATGTCTATTGGCCTGCTTGGTGGGCTCCTGTTCCACTTGGCAAAGGCTGCAAATTAGAATTGAATTAGCTGCAAATGTTTCCAATAGTCCGCTTTTGCACCTATTTAGCCCACGGCCACGCCCACACCCACTTACACACACATATATATATATAGAGATGGCTCGCTTTATAGCAGCGTATTTTTGTATTCAATTAATATGCATTGTTAACTAGTATTCGTTCGTATAGTATTCGTAACTTGTTATCTATAGATAACCCCGCCTGACGGCCTTCAAATGTGATGCTGACCAAGAAGATAATTATGATGACGCCGATGACGATGATGATGTTGATGATGAGGCAGCTATTCCGATCGAATCTGTGAATCTCCTTAAAACTGTTATTACTTGTACAACAAAACGAATGTTGATCTAATTCCGCACCCCTCGTAACAGTATTTCTTGTATAATCTCTAATTAATTATTATGTAGTTAGCACTATTAGCTAGCTGCTTTTGATCACACACTCTATTTAATGTACCCCTTCTATTCTGTTCTGTTTATGTTTTCTTTTTTTTATTTAATGTACCGACGATGAATGTCTCTTGTTATTGGTAAAAAAGTTTTCGTTGTTCTGATTAATTGATACAATAAAAAGCTTTAACAACACGCCGCACTCCAAGGTTCCAGCTGGTCTTTTTCTTCACCCAATGATTTATCAATTATCGCTCTCTCTCTCTCGCGATCTCTCTGTCTCTCTCTCTCTCTCTCTCTCAAAATATCTGCCTTTAGTTTGCACAACTTTCACTCGATTAGCAATTAAAAGTCTGCCCACCCATGCAATCATTCACGCAAACCCACCTGTTAGGTGCTTCATCATTTTTATTTCCAGGTAATTGCGACTTGAAATACTTAGAATCTATTTGGCTCAATTAACGTAATTGCACAATTATGACAGTTTTCCATATTTCAAATGTGTCTCTGGTGAAACTGAAATATAGTATATATATATTTTATACTTATATATACTATACATATAGTCACATATGTATTTACTTCAGTGGAACCAAGCAGATCCTAAGTAAAGCTAAACACATTTACCTGCAAATAATAATGATATCAATATCCATATTTTAATCAATATTTATACTCATACTCACAATTGCATTCCATATTCATGAATATGATTTCACGCCCCCAGTGAACGGACGTAGTCAACGATCCTTAGAGGATCTTACCACTAACCTTACTACTTGTCCAGTCTATGTGTTGTAGGGTTCGTGATCTTACTCAAGTGGGATGACAGCTCCTCGTAGGCGTATATATGTATGTATATATGATATACATATGTACATATGCATACTTTATTGATCTTAATTCGTCTATGCGAGTCTATCTGTATATACTCATATATCCATCCAAGTTTCTCTTTTGTCATTCTATATACATATGTAGTTAGCATACTAGTATTTACCGACTTGCCATGGCCCTAATTTTTATGTGGAAAAACTCTTAGCCCTTTAAAAGACGATAAAAGTTCCTATATACGGCCAACGACTACATACTCCTATATAGGTCGATTCTCGTTCATACGGTCGGAATCTCGCAAAACGCCAATATACCCATTTCCACTCCGCGAACGAGTACAAATAATGGTTCCAGATAAAGTGTGAAGGATTTAAATATTAATAGAAAACAAAACCATTACACCCTGATTTCCCATTTTCAATGGGGTCAGGGTATAAAAAAGTCAGAGCAAATATCTTTTAATTTTTCAAATTTTTATTTCAGCCTTTTCTAAGTCCGACTCTTCTGGGACCGGGAGATTTGTCAGCATTTGGGAACAGTGATTCAAGCTATCATGCGCAGAGAGTATATTAAGGCCCATTTTCATTGAATTATGGATGCTGACCGAGAATAGATACAGTTGAATCCGTTTATAATGACCGCTTTAAAATTAATTAGCCACCAATAAAAGATAAAACATTTGGCGTAAAGTTTAAACAACTTTATTTTTATGTTTTTACAGTAATTGGATAAACCACAATTTGTTTTTCATCTTTTAAAAACAGAGCTTGTAAAAAAGTTGATGGTTTTTGTTGTTTGTTGTTGCTATTGGTAATGTTGCATCTTTACTCCGCGTCATCATCCTCATCATCGTTGGAGCTGATTCTGAAGTAGCGCAGCTCGTACGAGTCCTTCTCGTTGGCAACCACACGGATCCAATCACGCAGGCTGTTCTTCTTCAGGTACTTCTTGGTCAAGTACTTGAGGTAGGCCTTGGAGAAGTGCACATCGGAGCTAACATGGAGCTTCATCTTGGACCGCTCGAAGGTGACATTGTTGCCCAGGTTGTTCACCTTGCCGTTCACCTTGAGGCGCGCCTTCACGTACTTCTCCTGCGGGAACCCAAACGAAAGTCAACATCGATTAGAACAGTGGCACAAGCCTATGTGCGAAAGCAATAGATGCACACGCAGAGTAGTGCTGTCTCTTTCTTTGTTAAGGCCAAAAGTCAATGGAATGCGAACAAGAGACCCAAATTAAGAAGAGTGACCAATTTTTTAATATGCCACTGAGTACACTGCCATCAGAGCGACTATCCCAAGGGATTTCACTCTCTGACGGCAAATCGGCGTGGCCTAAATATATCATGGAGGAATATAGATATATATGTACAGCTGCGGTCATAAAACTAGTCGTTTGAATGAGTTCTAAATATAAATGCCAATAGCTAAGTTAATAGAAATATATATTAATCATACATAATATTCATTTGTACTACTATTTTTTTGACTGCAGCTGCACATATATTACGTATATATAGATCTTATATTGTTATTGGAGCATTAGCTAACTCTGTATTACCTGTTCCTTATGGGCGCTCTTTGACTTTGGCTTTGCACCCTGCTAAATTGGGAAAGGGCCAGCGAGCCTTAACTTAAATGTGAGGAGGTTTCCCCCTCTTAGAATTGGCTTTAGACATTTCTATTGGTTTTTTGCTTCGTGGAGAAACCTGCAGCGTGGCAGAAAACAAACTTTTGGAATCGGATCATTCACAGTTAGTTTGTTGCACACGCCATTAGCAGGGCGCACTATGAATTTCGGCTCGACGTAACACGGATGTGGCACGTACAACCCAGGGCCCACCACGTGGCGGTACACATAGCACGACTTGACGCTGTTCACAGACGGTTGCACCAACTGGCCAGACCCGGTACTGGCGATCAGTGGCTACCCCGTTGTGCAGTGTCCAGAGCCCCTTTGTCAGAAAAGGTTTTCACAAGTGAAGAAATGAATAACAAAAGCCATTCTGGAGATCATTGATCATCGATAATTGATAAGCGAATTATCAATTAGAAGATTAAAATACGAAGTGTTCCAGAAGTTGTTAACCGTAATTGCCATTCAGGGCCAACTGCAGTTTAATCGCTAGTGGAATAGTTTACTATAACCACACTTTTTATCCAGTGCCTCGGGCAATTTGCGGCAATGGAAAGCTTGGTGTGGTACGACAGGCGTCGCTGCGTTGCCAATTGTCAAATGAGATCATGTTCACCAGCTCCATGGTGATTGGGGATTTGGAGTTAATCACGTCGGCGTGAGGGGTACTTACGAAATCGGCCACATCCATGATGTGATCCTCGGCAATGTTGGTGCAGTCGATGGTGAAGCGCAGCGAGACCTTCTTCTTCTTCTGGCCCTTACCGCGGAGCACGCTCTTCTTGACAACCTTGTTGGGCGCTGCGGGTGTGGCAGCCTTAGGCTTGGGCTTGGCAACAGCCGGCTTAGCAGCGGGCTTGGCCGCAGCGGCAGCAGCTGGGACGGCGGCGGCAGCAGCAGCAGCTGCTGCTGGTACAGCCTTGGCGACAGCGGGAGCTGCCTTCTTAGCTGGCGGTGCAGATGCTGGGGCGGCAGCTGCCTTCTTGGTAGCAGCGGGCGCCGCCTTGGCGTCCTTCTTGGGCGCCGCAGCAGCAGGAGCTGGTGCCTTCTTGGGGGCCTCCTTAGCAGCGGCGGGCTTGGCAGCAGCTGGCTTAGCAGCGGCCGCGGGCTTGGTCGCTGCGGCCGCCTTCACGTCCTTAGCGGCTTCCGGCGCCTTCTTTACGTTCTTAGCAGCAGCCGCCGCTGGCTTGGCAGCCTCAGTGGCTTTTGGTTTCTCAACCTTGCCCTTGGCTGCGGCTGGAGCAGCCTTCTTCTCAGCCGGCTTGGCAGCCTTGGTATCACCCTTGTTGGTCTTGGCCTGTGGACATGCGTATATAATTTGTATTATACATTTTACATAAGTTCAGAAGTTTATTTACACCATCATAAGTGTTAATGGAGAAATATCATTGCATGTGCACAAAACACATCTTTGGCATTCATATTATACACTTATTTACTTTAAACTATTTATGATGGCGCAACATTTTCACGATTTTTACGAGCACTTACAGTTGGAGCCATCTTATTAGTCGAAAACCACGGAGGAAAAGAACAAAATATTCGAGATGTGTAAAACTTATCGATTCTCGGACCGATTGTTGATTTTCTTCACTGCTTTCAAACACTATTTTCCTTTTTTGGTGAATGACACTTCACAAGAAACATTTCAGTATTTTCTTAGTATTTCTACAGTAATTTAACATTAAAAGTCTACAGCCACACTGAACGTTAAATTTAGCATTTGAATCATTTTTGGCCTTCTTGATTACATGTAGATTGGTCATACTGAAGTGCGCAGCCAACATAAGTGAACCGCAAACGAGAGCGACTGCTAGATTTTTTGTTGTTAGTGTAAAAAATAAAGTGAAAACTGCGTTTCTTATACAATTTTTTAACGAATACAATCATGAAGTTCCAATACAAAGAGGAGCATGCATTTGAGAAGCGCCGCGCCGAAGGCGACAAGATTAGACGCAAATATCCAGACCGTGTACCCGTAAGTACAAAAAAAAATATTTTTTATTTATTTCTATATATGCGTGTGTTTATTGTGTTATGTGTGTGTATGGATGTATGTGCGAGCTCTTTGCATGTGTGTATAGTTTTGCGTCGTTCTATTTGGCTGTGTTGTTATTGCTGCACACACATACACGCATACTCTCAGCAGGGAAAATCAATAATGCGCATATTGTCCATAGAAGTAATTGTTAATATTTTTATACCCATTTCAGTGCGTTTTGCGAAAAACGATAGTTTTTCATATATACTGCATAAAAATGAATTCACTTGTCATAGTCAACACTTGCCAAATCTCAAGTGAAAATAAAACAAATTCATGTGCACACGTACACACACAAACGCTTTGTTCACAGGCTGTATATATATATATATATACATGCATGTGTGTATGTGCGGGAGAACGAGCTGCTAGCTGACTCGCTTGCTCAGCTGTTGTGATGTTGTTGTTTTTCAGTTGGCTGTTTTTTTTTTCGATTCACTCTTCACCCTACCCACACAAACACCAATACACACACACATACAAGTAAACAGCGTCAGCCCCTGTGTCAAAGCACACGGCCAACGGGCCTATCGTGTTTTTGATTTCATATAAAAGCGTATTTTTGTTTTTGTTTATTAACTCGCAAAAAAACAGACCAGACAGCTTTAAAACTGCGCATAAAAAAACAAAAACAGAAGTAAAAACAGAAGTAAAAACGCTGTTGTCTAGAATTTGGCTCATTTCAAAATTTGTTGTTTTGTTTTTCCGCTTGCATTGAGTCCATAATTAGTCATAGCAATTTGCTCTCTTTGTTTGTCTATTTCACCATATGCAATTGTTTTTGCTAAGGTAAACACATACTCAACATTCTGAAAGCTCTTTCTCACTCGCTTTATCCCTCCGCCTTGCATTATCATCCAGTTCGCTCTCCCTCACCCCCACTGCAGGGGATCTCCGTTCTCCTCTCGCCCCCACACGCATCGTTTACAATTTATTGCTTATTTCTTTCCCTTTATTTTTGTTTTCAATTTTATTTTATTATTCAACAGTTTTTGGTGCTTTGCTTGCCTTAGTATTTTGGCAAGCAACACAGCTCAAATCGCTTAATAACATCTGACGACAAACCAAATGCAGGCAAGGCCAGCTGGTCGCTGTATAATTATATACATACATATACATGCATACAAACATACGCACATACATAAATACATACGATATATACATAAATAGAATAGAAATACTTATATGTACATATGTAGCTAGTTATGCCACCTTCACCTTGAACACGGGCAGTGACATGACCCCAGGGCAGCTTCTTTTGGCAATTTGGCTAAGCTGAAATTAACAGCAATGTTACAGTAAAAACAAATTCGTAACATTCGCTAATGCCAATTTGTTGCATTTTTGTTTCCTTTGTGCTCGCCTTGTTACACAAAAAAATGCAATTACCGTTAGTAAATAATTATTGATGAGTGCACACAGCGAACACACACACACACACAGCTATGCATATATGTATATCTGTATATATATATATTGATACGTGTTGCTTGATTTATCGGTATGTCGTCACGTATTCACGTTCTTGAAGACGCAGTTTATTTTGTTTTCATAACTGTAACTGCTTGAAGCTCCTGCCAAGACTAACAGCCGCTGCTAATTGACTAAAGAGAAGCAATTCTTCTCATCTTCCTGCCGAGCTCTCTTAAGAATATAATTGCATATCTCCTATCAACATTGATTGAACACAATACAAAATCTTGTATTTCATGGGTTCCTAATTTCGTTTAATTTTGTTTTGCAGGTGATTGTTGAGAAAGCACCAAAGGCGCGCATTGGTGATTTGGACAAAAAGAAGTATCTGGTGCCATCCGATTTGACCGTTGGGCAATTCTATTTCCTTATACGCAAGCGTATTCACCTGCGTCCTGAGGATGCACTCTTCTTTTTCGTCAATAACGTCATTCCCCCAACATCAGCAACAATGGGCTCACTGTACCAGGTAAACTAGACAATCTGTCTCCAGTTCACATCATTATCTAATCTATCTCTCTCTCTTTCCCTCTCTCCCATCTATCTGTTACTTTTCTGCGTGCTGCAGGAGCATCATGAGGAGGATTATTTCCTGTACATAGCCTACTCCGATGAGAACGTCTATGGCATGGAGAAGTAGACAAGGACTGCATTCTTAATAGTGGCAGGCGTTCTGACATCAGGCAACAACCTATACATAAATTCTATATAAA